CTCTGCGGCATCCCCCGGGCATCTCTGCCCGCTCCCATCCCTCCGCCTCGGGCCCCACCTGGGCAGCGGGGCAGGGGGATGCGCTGCCCTTTGCGGGCACTGTGGGATCTGTGGGATCTGTGAAATTGGGAGCGTGTGCTCGTTCTCAGAAACAGTTACATGAGTAGCTTGGGGCATTTCCGTACACACCTTAAAAACTAGCCAAGTGTTTCTGGCTTATGTCTTCCAGAGTCATGAAGAAGACGACAGAAAGGTAAGAAGGAGAGAAAAAAATCGAGTTGCTGCACAGAGGAGCCGGAAGAAGCAAACTCAGAAGGCAGATAAACTTCACGAGGTGAATGGGTACTTGATGTGTTGCACGCACAGCTTGGGTGCTGAGTGCAGGACTTTCCAATAAACGGGACTTCTTATGCGTGGGCCTGTCTTCATGCTGATCCAGCTCAGAGAGCTGTGGGGGTGCCACAGAGACAGACCTGCTGCGGGGTGCCTGGTCAGGAACCCCAGCACATTGATGCTCGTGTTGGACAGTGAGGCTCTGCCATCCGTGACACTGCCGGGGAGAGAGAGATGTGGTCCTGCCCTCGCCTCACCCTCCCTCTTTTGCTGTTCCTGTGACGACCCAGTGAATTGAACCACAGGGCTCCACTGGGCTAGAACAAACACATTTTCTTCTGAATTAGTGTTAAACTTGTCATGTCCGCTATGGCAGCGTGTGAGTGCTTGCAGCCTTACGGGGGAGAAGGCAGTGGAGGAGGAGACCATGCTGCTTAGTGGCAGTGCTGGCTTAAGCCACTTCTAAAACTGTGAGACAGAAATACCCAGTTGAAAAGGCTTCTTAGGAACTTTCAAACCTCCAAGCGTGAGAACTCGGTTGAGTTAGCTGTTATATGTGTATGCTCTGATAAATAACAGTGGGTGTTTCCAAAAAACCATGAAAGTAACTGATTCTTCCAGAAAGTCTTAATACTTCTCAATATCACAATGCGATGTGGTTTTCTCATGTCCCCAGTGTGAATGCTGGAGGACAGGAATCCCCTTTCTCTGGTTTTGGATGTTAACTCACACAGCAGCGCTTTTGTTGTAGCCAGGGCTCTTGGGGTAAGTGTTAATTCTACTGTTGCAGCTTGTCAGTTGCAGCAGCTCTGAGTCAATTGATCAGCTCTGGAGGTTCATCACGGGCTTTTCTCTTTCTCAGTGTGGAAGGATCTGCCAACCGTCAGCAGAGGCCAGGAGGGACAGTGTGGGGAGTTTTGCATTTGGTTTTTCCCAGATCTTCTCTGAGTCAGCGCCTGAGTAAGTCAGGTGCAAGGTACTTCTGGAAAGGGGTAACTCCTGGATTTTGTGCAATAATTTCTGGGCCCTTTGCCATCCTGCAGCCTCTCTGATGTTCCTCCTGGACATTAGAATCTTCCTTGTGCTGGGAATCATCATTCTTGGGCATGCAGGTTTTCCCAGGTGCAGGCAGATGTGGCTGAATAGGCATTTTGCTTAGCAAGAAAAATTTGATAATCTCATCCCTGAAAATGAGACAGAGCAATGGCAGCATAACACTCACTACCAAATCCAACCCCACTGGGTCTGGGGCAATAAGAGGGGAGCAGAGCCTGAGTCAGGGGTGCACAGTTTTGCTGGAGTTGGCTACCATAACATAATATAACAGAGTAAAAGAGGACTGTGCCTCTTTTACTCTGTGAGGGAGGTGATGGTGGGTGGTGGAAGGGTGTGAGGAGGGGCAAGGGCATCAAAGCCCTTGCAGTGAAAGGTAGCAGAGGCAGTCCCAGGCTGCCCAGAGGAGCACTGCATGAGACACTCTCCCTGCTGCCTGGTAAACAGGCCTTTTAAGGCATGTGTAGGCTTTAAAGTTTCCTCTGAAGCTTTCCCAGGAAGGTGAGATTGAGTGGGTGAGTGTTGAGCCCTAGGCCAAAAGCGAGGTGCAGACACCTGCAGGTTTTTTGTAGGCTGGCTCTGAACCTTTAGCTCTTTTCTCTTTGGGATGAGAAGGCTTGACAGCAGGGACACTTGAGACACACAATTATCAAAAAATGTGACACGCAAGTCTCACATTCATCACAGATGTATGCTGCAGAGCACCTCAAAACTCCCCTGCCGTAATAGCAGCTTATTCATTGCCAGAGAAGCCTTAGCTCAAAAGCAGCCTGGGTCAGGGATAACTAAGGCAGCGGTCAGGCCTTTTGGTGACAAAGTGGGGCTGGGAACATGCTGGTGTGATGCTCCCTCTTGCTCTTGAGTTCCTGAGCATCTGAGCAGGTGAATACAAGTCCCAGCCAGGCTGGAGGAGAGTGGCTGGCACTCACGTCATGCTGGGTGTGCGTCTCAGCTGGCAACTGGGCAAATAGCCTTTCTCTGTACTGGCCCAGGGGCTGCCCTTTCCGCATGGGCAATGCCAGGCACCAGGTTTTCCCACCAACTTTTCTGCAGTTGGTGCTTTCATTTTCTCTGCTCCTGACAGTGCAGAGCTGCTCTGCTCAGCTGTTCCCAGCAGAGGCAGCCCAGGTCTGGAAGAGGCCACTGTGGGTATGCAGCCATCCATGCCTGCGGCCCTGGGCTGCTGGGGATGCTGGAGGACCAGCAGCACCTCCTTGTCTTCAGGGCCACAAAAGGAATCACAGTGTGGTCAGGGCACAGGTCATAAAAGCACTTACCCTTTTGCAGCACCCAGGCTGTGTCTGTGTCCCTCAGTGTTTTTCACATTGTAGGAAGAAACCATACAGTTTTTCTAGAGTTACATGAGTATACTCAAGGTGGAAGCACTGAAAGGAGTGCTTTGACTATAAGTAAGTTTGGATTTTTTGTCTTTCCAGGAATATGAGTCCCTTGAGCAAGAAAATACCTCCCTGAAAAGAGAAATTGGAAAGTTAACAGATGAAATGAAACACTTGAGCGAAGTGTTGAAAGATCATGAAAAGATCTGTCCACTATTGCACTGCACCATGAACTTTGTGACCATACCAAGGCCTGATGCACTCGCCAGCTGTCTGCCGAGATGAAAACTGTCCTCATTTGCCTTTATATATGATGTGTGAAAGTGCCATTAACAGGGGAGATTTGAAGAATTGCCTACTTACGGTACAGGTCTTCCATTGAAGAGGGCTGGACATGAGTATGCAGGTCTTCTTCACATCGAAGTGTTACAGGCTTCTGAATCTCAGGAAAACACCACTATGGAAAAAAACCACTATGGAAAAAAACCACTATGGAAAAAACCCACTATGGAAAAAAGACAACTCGAACTGCAACTTCTTTATTGGTAGAATCTTCAAGACACGGCTTTGCATTCGGAAATGTCAAAGTGCAGTGCAGCCCACCATCACGCGATGGAATGTAGACAGAGAAAAGTACTGACCTTGGATTGCGATGCCTTTCTCCCACACGTCCGCTGCCAGTAACCCTTTGTCACTTGTCATCCATGTACATCATGCTCTGGCTGCTGTTTTTTTTTTCCTCTAAATGGGTGCGGTTAATAAAAGCAATGACCTATCTATGTAATGTTCTTCACCTTCTTCAATTATCAATATCTATATAATATCTCTACTTTACTGGTCAAATTCAAAGTCTAATGCTAATCTTTCTGTCAGCTGTTTTATTATTTGCTTATCACCTTTTCATTGGTCTCTCTTTTGAAGTGTGTCTAACAAATGAGTATTTCCAGTCTTTCTTTCTTTAATATCCCCAGTCATCAGCTCTGCCAACATTAGTTTTCTATCCTAAGATATATCTTGGACAATTTCTAGTGATGATTGTCTGCTTGTGTGGAAGAAAAGCAGAACAGTATCTGCTGTTTCTACACGTTGTTTTAAAGAGCAGATTTTAAAATTTACTTGTTTAATGCATCCACTGGAAATTAACGGGTATCTTTATCCTATAAAGCCTGTAGCCTGGGATCCAGCAAAAAGTGTTTTTCTAGTAGTGTTTCCCAGTCAGATAGCCCCTTTGGGTAATAAAAACTCCACTCTCTTGCCAGCTCTCTCACTTCAGCATTTGGATTTTTTTCATTTCAACTCATGGGATTAACTTCTTCCCTCACCAGGATTGTAGTATTAGCAGAATATGATCTGAAATGTCTAAAAGTTGTGGGTTTTTTCTTTTTTAGCCCCTTTAAAAGAATAATTAATTGAGGATCGCTGCCATGATAGAACTGGGGAAACTGTGTAGTCAACTCTGCCTTCTCAAAGGCCCTGTTACACCGCTGTCTTAGACTAGAAATTCAAGAAAACAGGCGTGAGCTGTTGGCTTCTTTAAAGGTTTTCATTAGGTTGTCTCCAAGAGAATTTTCAGTATTTACAGAAACTATCTATAGCCTCAACGCAGTCTTCAAGTTTCTTATGGTCCTGTATCAACTAAGTCATTTTGCAAAGAAAATCTGGTGCAGTCCCTGCAAAGAAAATGAGTTTCAGGACACTTCAAAATACGCGTTTTGGATAATGGCCTTGATATGATTCTGTGTGTCACCCTTAAGAAAGGAGGCTGTCTTAAGCTTCCTTCAGGCCCTGGATGCCAGGGTGTAATTTGAGCTGAGTAGAGGTATAATGGAGAAGGAGGAGTGTAATGGAAATGAACAACATTCACTCTGGGAAATTTCATTGCAGTTAAAGATGGAGCGAGAGAGGATGTCTCACACCTCTTAACTAGATATGTGCAGCTGAGCTAAGGCTAGGAATGGAAAGTAGCTAGTTGAGGTCAGGGCTGGTGCAAAAGCATCGTCTCTCCCATGGAGCTCTGTAGACCCTGAAAAATGAAAGGAAAGGTCAACCACTTTGCCCAGGAAACTCCATCACAGTAGAATCCTAAGGATTTTGACCTGCAGATGCTGTCTTCTAAAAGAAGAGGTCTATTCCCCGTGTAAAATCCACATTCTTATACATTTATTCTTCTAAACCTCTGTCTAGAAACTGTCTCCAGCTTATCATTCAGTAGTCCAAGATCTATTACACACTCTTCATCAGCAAATGCTATGCTTGTTCTGCGCTGCAAGCTTTACTTCACTGTTTCTGCATCAGAATGTATTGACTATTGCTGCTCATGGCTTGGATAGCTGTACTCTGCTGTGTGAAAAACTGGCTGCAGGGCTGGGCCCAAAGAGTGGTGGTGAATTGAGTTAAATCCAGTTGGCAGCCAGTCACAAATGGTGTTCCCCAGGGCTCAGTGGTGGCACCACTCCTGTTTAATACCTTTATTAATGATCTGGATGCGGGGATCAAGTGCACCCTCAGTAAGTTTGCAGGTGACATGAAGCTGGGTTGATCTGCTTGAGGGTGGGAAGGCTCTGCAGAGGGATCTGGACAGGTTGGATCAATGGGCCAAGGCCATTGTATGAGGTTCAACAAGGCCAAGTGCTGGGTCCTGCACTTGAGTCATAACACGCTTGGGGAAGAGTGGCTGGAAAGCTGCCCAGCAGAGAAGGACTTGAGGGTGTTGGTTGACAGTCGACTGAACGTGAGCCACCAGTGTGCCCAGGTGGTCTAGAAGGCCAATGGCATCCTGGCCTGCATCAGGAGTAGTGTGGCCACTAGGACCATAGAAGGGATCGTCCCCCTGTACTGGGCACTGGTGAGATTGCACCTTGAATTCTGTGTTCAGTTTTGGGCCCCTCACTACAAGAAAAACGTGGAATGCTGGAGCAGGTCCAGAGAAGGGCAACAAAGCTGGTAAAGGGTTTCAACAACCAGTCTTATGGAGAGCAGCTGAGGGAACCAGGGTTGTTCAGCCTGGAGAAAAGGCGTCTGAAGGGATACTTTATTGCTCTCTATACCTACCTGAAAAGAGATGTAGTGAGGTGAGGGCCAGTCTCTTTTCCCAAGTAATAACTGATAGAACAGGAGGAAACAGCCTCAGGTTGCACCAGGGCATGTTTAGATCGGTTGTTACGCATTGGCACAGGTTGCCCTGGGAAGTGGCGGAGTCACTGTCTCTGGAGATATTTAAAAGATGTGTAGTCGTGGCTCTTAAGGACATGGTTTAGTGGTGGACCCGGCATTGTTAGGTTAACAGCTGGACTCAATGAACTTAAAGGTTTTTTCCAACCTAAAGAATTACACGATTCTATGATTAACTGTATAATGTCTATGCAGAGCATACAGGGGAAGACAGATGATTTCACAGCAATGTTTTGTGCTAGCAACAGCCACCTAAGCCCAGGGTTATTCTGCTGTTCCTTGGAAGAGTTGGGAGCCCTGAAGAGGCACTCACTGCCACCAGTTCCTTCCCACAACCTCAGGGCATAGCTCCAGCCCATGCATCACATCCATTAGTAATAGCGGGTTTAAAATCCTCCAGGGCCTGGGCTACTTCTTCCTTCTGCATCTATTGCATCACTGTTTTTCCCAGCACTATTTCCAAAGGGCATTATGCATCATTCTTCTGTTTAACAGATTAACTAAAGCACCACTCACAAAAAATATTTTGTGTAGCTAATGTTCAAAGGCAGCTGGGAACCTCAAGTAAAAGAAGTAAGCAAAATGAGTGTTCCAAGCCAAATAAACCCAACATTCTGATATATTTATAGAATTAATGTCATAGCTGAATCATGGGTTGAAAGGGATAATGAACTATTAAAGTACAAGCTTATGTATCCCTAAGCAAACGATATGTGTACAGGCTGATTACACTGTTGGCAGGAGCTGTTTATGAGGATATTGATTTACAGAGAGTTTCAAAACCAAAAGTATGTTCTGCAGCCTGGGATTATTGTTATATGAATAGGGAACTAGAAAAGAGAACAGAAAGGAAAAGACTTATTTGTTAAGGAAAGAACAGAAAGTTCTTTTTCACATCCAAACCTCTCCTTTTGCAGCAGGGTGTTACACCATCACACAAAATGTTTCATATTTATATATGGCTAAAATACCACTTGACATATTCTAGCTTCAGAAAACTTCCAGTTAGTTGGACTTGTTCCCTACTGATGTAGTCTGTACTACATTCACATGATTTTCAGATGCACGTATATAGGGAAGATCTTTTCTATGTTCAGATGCTAGTTCATGTGAGGAATACTGTGAATTGCAGTCTTCTTTGTGGATGTGTAATGTAGATGAGGGTTGCCAAGAAAGCTGGATTTTGCCTCTTAGATTCACATTGAAGGTTACAGTTTGTCTAGACTTGATTAGCGTGAATTTATTTTTTTAATATTTTCTGTGACTCTAATGAAGAAGCAAAATGCTCAGTGCGAACTTACTCACAGATAAAAGTATTCATTCCGGGAGCAGACTGGGTCCAATTCAACTGTTTGTCTTTTTCTTTCTTTCAATTGTTTAAATTAGATCAGATTTGAATAGGTCATATTTTGAAAAGATAATTTTAGGCTCCAGATGTAAAAAGAAACCAACAGAAAGACAAAGGCAAGCTTCCCAAAATTGCTTGTGAGAGTATAAGAGAGATCAACTATTATACCTTAGTGGAGCTCATTGGAAAGTCTTGTTCATTCCCACTGATGTCTTACATTCATGCCTGTGAGCATTTATAAGCATCTTCATGTCCTCCTCCACAGTCTTGCTGAAAAATACACCTTTAAGAAACATTTTCAAAACAGCCGGTTCTGTAATACCTGCTCATCTCACCTGCATTTGCCGTTTGCAGTAGTCTTCATAGTCTCTCACCATTTTATTTCTAATGCCACTTTTTTTTTCTTCTTCCTGTTTCCTCCTGTTCCTGTGTAGCTCTGTGACAGTATAATTTAACCTTATCAGTATTAGAGGAACAAGGCTGATCTATAGCAGCATATAGAAAATGAACTTCACAGGTACACCCTGCATATGATTAAAGGTTTTTATGTGTGGCTAGTTTTGACACTTGAATATTAAGGAGGGTGTCTATGCAGTCTTTTAAACTGTACTTAGAAGTGGCATAACCTTTATTCTAGTCTTTAAAACCTATGCTGTTTCCTGTCCATAGATGAACAGTTTACTGCATGGCATTTGGGATTTCCATCTGTGAATCAGTCTAGAATTTCTGCCTCAATGAAAGTAATAGATAAAACAACCATTTAAAA